TTTTTTGCTTGCTGAGTTTGGGCAGTTGTAGCTACTGGCGTGCTGCCTGGTTAAGTTTATCATTAAGCAGAAATTTTCTACAGAAGTTTGGTCTTTGTATTCTTTGCATTCTTTTGGCAAGTCATGTCTTAGAACAGCCTCAACATGAAGTTCACTTCAACTTGACAACCCTCTGCTATAAGTGGTAATGTTTTGGAAATAATTTCATTACCAAGGGTGACTCAATACATAAGCTGTTTCTTGGAGTAAATTCATGGAGTATTTCACCTTTCATTCTAACAGGTCTCTGTTATTTAACACTGAAATACCTTTTTAAAGCCTTTATACTCAGCTAAGTGTTGAAAAAATGGTTAATTACTTACTGTCTTTTGCAAAGATTTATTTGAAAGTAATTTACCATTTGTTTTGGTTTTTCCTTCCAATTAGTACGTGTTTCCTGATGGGGCCACTGAAGCAACTGAAAGCAATGTTTGAGCCAAAAAGATTAATAGCTACAGTTGTGATGTTGGTAAATATGCTATCTTTACTTCTTTTTGCTAAAAAGTTTTTCTTTAGCCTCAAAGCCAAATCTGAGGCTTTACTAAAGAGAGGTTATTTCTCAGTCCACCTCTTCTTTGTACTGAGTAATAAGTCAAGCTTATAAGCTCTATATATCATAAAGATTATCTAACTCCTTTCTATGAGCCTGTGTTTTTGTTGCTTATGATATTTTTAGTTAATCATTTGGAGTAAAATGTTCTTTGCTAAATATTGCTTACTAAATGCTAATATTTAAATTTGTTTTCTAAAACAATTTCTTCAAGAACAAGGCTAGAGACTTCTCAGCTAGAGTGAAAAGTCAGTGCTCACCAAGTCTAGCTTGACAGTTGTTTATTGGCTGCAGCTCTGTTTATATGAGCTTAGTGGTTCAGCACTTTCAAAGCAATGGAGAAAATTCAGTTTCTCTCCCCAGAGTCTGGGAAGCCACATGTTCAGCTTTACATTTCACCATTGTGAGGTCCTTGGCTCCTTTACTTCCATGACCATTATTTCTTCTTCCAGGAGGATGAAAAAAACAGCCCTGTCCCAAATCTCAGAATTCATATCTCAAAACTCTATATTAGGTAGTTAAAAATAAGTTTTTGCCCTTGTTGCTTCTGTTTTGTACTTATTTTCTCTCTTGTTCCTCCTGATTTGTTTCAACTTTTCTTTTTGAAATGTAGTTGGCTGTCCTGTTCTCCCTATCATACACCTTTCTTTTCTGGTTGATTACAGCTAACGAGGATAAGAAACCCTTCATTAATTCTTTCTGTATGGCTGTCATATGGGTTGTAATATTCTTTCTCTTACACACCTACGTGAAAAAAAAAAAAAAAAATGTTACACTGTCATTTGAGAAGCTCGCATTTGACCACATCTTTGGAGAAGTGGCTTGATCCTTGCTTGGACTCCAACTCTTTGTTAAAGAGGTGGCAAAAAGCCAAATCATACCAAGTTACAAGTCCTAGGGAAGTTATGTTTCATAGGTCTGCAGTAAAAATGACCAGTAACACCTCCAATGCTGTAGAGTCAGTGTTTGCTGATCATGAATTCTTCAGGGCTTTACAGCTGTGGGCTTTTTATGGTCAAGCTGAGGGCCTAAGCCAGAAAATAAAACAGCCAGCACAAAAATTACTTGCTCAGTTATCCTGTCATCCATCCTATCACTGTACTCAGATATGGTGACAAAGAAAATAACTTGCTTTGAAGGCTGTGGAAGTAAGACACATCAGGGAAATGGAAGGAGAACAGAGAGAGAAAAAACATCACAGACCTACCTGCCTGTGCAGAGAAGCTACCAACGAGGTTAGGAAAAGACAGAATGAAAGGTTTCCTCCCGTAGGAAAGGAACATTGGATGAGAGCTAAGACGGAAAATTTAAGTAATACAAAGAAGAACTGGAAAAATTGTAAAGTTTAGAAAACCTTTTATGTATTTGTCTGTGGTGTTCTCCATCCTAACACAAAGCTAGAATTATAGGCAACTCAGGAGACACAAATATGTTAGGAAAATTTCAAGAGAGACTGTCCTTTTATTTCCTTCAATGAAATGCCAAGAAAATTTTTTCAGTGAAAATTTATTTAGCATTTTGTTGCATTTTCTACTATATATAATAGCAAATAGAGGGAGCTAGGTGAGATTTAGCGGGAAAAGTTTAAAGTGATGGCTGAGCTTGCACAAATGGTGTGATTAATTTGGCATAATAAACCATATCGTTGTAACGTTCCATCAGAGGTGTGTAAGTAGCTTGAATAAAGCTGCATGTGAGCTTTTTCACTGTGTATGAGGCAGCTGCTCCCTAGTAGGCTCTTCATTACTGTCAAAAGATGAAAAAACACTGGCAGAAGCAGCAGAGCCTCTGTTTGCCAAATACCGTAATTGTGAATGGGCGTTATTAATAATGGGTTTTTCATAGTGATGCACATGCCTTCTTGTCAGATGTTGATGTTATGAATACTAGATCCAAAATGATGCTATCTACCGAAATGAAAGAAAGCAGTTCCCAAGCTACTTGGTTGCTTTCAAGCAAGCTTTGTCATCTAAGCCCAGCTCTTAATAGGCCTACAAAGTAAGGCTACACAGACCTGGTTATACTCCTCCTGGTTCCCGAAGTCAGTTCCTGCCTCCTTTTTCTTCTAAGAGTTGTTCCAGCCCTTCTGGCCAAGGACCACATCATACTGTGCTTCAGAAAGCACCGCTTTATGAGGAGTTCAGCATATAGTCACTGCGTGACACCCTGTGGCTCTGCTTGCTTCATGAGTCAATTCTGAAAATGCTGATTACCCACTGAAAACATTAAAAAAGTTACTGTGTTTGCTTTGCTGTCTATTTGAGTATTCATTCTTTTCTTTTTTTTGTCTCTCTCTTCATCTGCCCCCAGCTTTTCTTCGTATTGACTCTGTGTGCTGTATTCTGGGTAAGTGAGAATGCTTTGTTCTTCTAAAGAGCAATCTAGCTTGGTTAGTTTATTAATCGTATCACAACTTTAACATTCAGTTCAGTTGTAGAGGGGAGATGAGCTTGTGTGTGTGGTATTTGTGTTTTCCACTGCAGTTGAGTTTAGGTGGAGTGATGAGCCTGCTGGCTACAAAGCAAATGCACCCTTCCACCTGCATGTGATGGAGATGAGAATACAAAAAATCTAGAGCATCGCGTTCAATCTGCAGACATCTGGTCTAAGAACTAAGAAGAGCAAGTTAAAATGTACTTTGATCTTAGTGGTGTGTACTTATGTCAGAAAATACCAGAGAATATGTAGTGGTCTTTAGAAACCACGGGTACAGAATAATAAACTGATTAAGACGAAGGAAGAGAGACAGAACAAGTACCTTCAGGCATCTTGATTGAAAAGCTGGTGGTAGTTGTGTTCCACAGAAGTAAATATGTAGCAGAAGTGAACTTCCATGTTTGCAGAAGTACAGTATCATGAATGAAAGCCGAAGTGTTAGTATCGATGCTGTTAAGTGTTTTCAAAGCTAGAGAAGGCTTTCATAGCGTGATGCTAATGGAGTGACGGATAAAATGAATGGAAAATTGTTAGAGTGGAAAGGAGTAGCAAATTAAGACGAGGAAATGTAGGCGTTGTCAGTGAACTGAAGTTTTGACTGAACAGGCTGTTGCAACTGTTTACAGTATAGACTGGTGCAGAATGAACTAACTTGCAATATTTGCTTTGTTTTTACTTAGTGGAACAAAAAGGGTTTGGCAGTGTTATTCTGCATATTGCAGTTCTTGTCAATGACCTGGTAAGATTCTTAAAATTCATTTTGTTTTCTTCTCCCTGTCCCTACACCCATATGATTATATATATATATATACACACACATGTTTTGCATAATGTAAGTGTGCCCAAATGCTAGCCTCGATCTGTTTTTCTAAGCCAGGCTGTGTAACTTTAGCAAAATCTATATGCAATCGTCTTGCAAAAATGGTAATTTTAACTGTATTCTGCATTGTGTGAACTTATTTGAGGCATTATAAAAGGAGCATATATGCAAAAAAATTCTCATGCCTTTTCTTTGTTGTGAAAGTAACTGTATATTCATATGCCCTGCTTTTGATTATCTCACTCTTTTTTGAGTTCTAAGTTTTCATTTTTGGAGTGGAAGAAACTAAACGTTCTCATAGGGTGTGTCCTGCCCCAGGAATATTCAACAGCACTGGGGAAA